ATATATATGTTTTATAGAAGTTTTACGGAACTCACATTCCGTCTACGCATTATAAAAATTTGATTTAAAAAAATATCGAGAGAATATCTTAAATTATAAATATATATGTATAATTAATTATGATATATATATATATATTATTTATATTTATATATATATAAAATAATAAGTATCGATGTGCGCGCGCGCGGGTGTGTGTACCGATACTTACTTATGGTTTGATGATATTATGTCGTGAATCTTAGTCCTGTATTGAAACGTATAATATTTTATATTATTGTTATAAAAGTTAAATTTATTGTGATGCTTTTTTTTTCAGTTGAAGCAATTAGCTTTTCATAATCGTAATTAGTATTATTTTTAAAAATACCATATGTTACATTTATTACGCATAATAGTTTAATAACTTTTACAAAAATTATAATATTTGTAACTTAAAGCGTTTGTTATAAATAATATTTTTATTATAATGTTATAATATATATAACAATTACAATAAAATTCTAATAATAAATATTTAAAAATAATAAATTTCTTGAATAACTTGTTCAATTTAAATTGTTATCAATTCGTTTATTCAAAATAAGGAGGTACGACATAATAGCATGCCGAAAATGTTCCTGCAAATATTGTGCTAATAATTCAATGTTTAATTAATTATTTAACTGCGCAATTAAATTTGATTGAAAATTCTTTTGAAAAAAGTTACAATTTTAAAACGAATAATAAGAGATTCGAAACTGCTATCGAAAAATTTAGAAAACTGAACTATCCGATTTTTTATTTTAAACTCTTGAAAATTTATTTTAAACTTTTAAAATATTCTGAATATACCTTATTAAAATTAAAGAATATTTATGTCACAAAAAATGTCACTCGTAAATTTTGTTAAGTGTTCCAGTTATGCCAATTTTCTACAAAAGAGTTTGATGACGGTCACATTCAAATTTGCAAGAAATCTATGGCAATGATTTATTTAGAGAGTTACGAGATAAAGAAAAGTGATTATTTGCCGACTTTGTTATTTTGCACCCTGAGTCCAGAAAAGAGTCAAAAGAAAAGATAATACATAATAATACATAATTATGTGTGACCTAAAAATTCAAAGTTTTTCTAACAATTCTAGTATACTTTTTATTCAGGTTAATAATAATAGCGTAAAGACAATTGTTCCCATATTACCATAAATATAGTAATCACTTATTTATTGCTTTATAATTATTTAACAATAATGATAATAATTATATTTTTATTATTATCTTAAATAACGATTAATCTCACTTAAAATAAGTGATTGTTTTAAAAACAATATAAATAAACCATTTATATTGTGACTTCAGTTAAAAGTCACACACGATTAGATATCGCGCTGTTTTTATGTCCCATACATCTTCTAATGTAAAAAAAAATTATTAATTTATAAATTGAAGCTAAGGTCAAATTTTAAAATTAAAAAATGCATCTTATTTCAGAAAGTTAAATTTATTGAAATGTGTGAAATATTATTTTTATCAAACTTATTTTTTTTAAATCAATACGTAATTCAATATGCAATAACATTGCTCTTTAATAATGATGAATAGAAATTGTGAAGTCATAAAGAAAAAATACAAAATATATAAATGTATAAATGATACTAAAGAAATTGAGAATTATTAATGTATCGAATCGCGTATAAAAAATTTGCGGACTCTTCTAAACTTTATTAATTGCAGTAATAGTGTTCTTCAGTATTTTAAAACAATTTCTTTAGTGTTAATTTTTTCTTGTATAAATATAATATATACTTTCGATAAACTGAGATAATAATAGAGCAACAAATGTAATAGTACAAATGAAATGAAACGTAATTTTGAACTACCCGGGAAAAAATGTTACGTATATAATTATATATAATTGTATAAAATTATATAAAATTATATATAATTATATCAAAAAATTAATGTATTTTATATACAATTATATATAATTATATATAA